CTAATTTGCATAATAATTCTACAATATAAATACTTGTTTTCCTAATTTTACAGATGAGTAGAAGTTAATAAATAAAACCAGATCTTTCTGAAACCTGTATTTTTGGAATTATACTATAATGCCATTAAAAAAAAATTAGTTAATATATGCCTTCCTGATTCATGCACATTGTCACAAATAGGATTTACTTCTCTTTTATAGCTAAATAATATTCATATATATGTGTGTGTGTGTGTATACATGTGTATCACATTTTCTTTGTTCACTCATATATGGAAGAACATTTTTGTTGTTTCCATATCTTGGCTATTCTGAATAATGGTGCAATAAAATCAATTTCACAGAAACAGGAAATAAAACAGTGGTGCCAGAGGCTTGGGGGAAGGGGAAATAGGGCGATATAACTGAAAAGGTACAAATTTTCAGTTACAGAAGTGCTGATGATCTAACACACACCATGGTGACTACAATTATTAATAACTACGGTATTCTTGAAAGTTGATAAAAGTAGACCTTAAGGATTTATCACACAGAAAAGTTAACTGGCAAATATGTGATGGATGCGTTAATTATTTTAATCTTGGTAAATATCCTATATGTATATATTTGATATATATGTATATATATCAGACCATCACATTGGACACTTTAAATATGTACAATTATATTTGTCAACTTCCCTCAAAAAGTTAAAAAGAAAAAGTAATTTCAACCATTGGGATATCGAAAAAAATAGTGAAATATTAGGCTAAAACCCATGATTTCTACTGTAGTCCAGGCACATTTTCATACTGTGCCAAGAATAAAAACTATTTTCTCTAAATAGGAAATAAAACATTAATTTTTAAAGATTACACAAATAGGGGATCCCTGGGTGGCGCAGCGGTTTGGCGCCTGCCTTTGGCCCAGGGCGCGATCCTGGAGACCCGGGATCGAATCCCACATCGGGCTCCCGGTGCATGGAGCCTGCTTCTCCCTCTGCCTGTGTCTCTGCCTCTCTCTCTCTCTCTCTATCATAAATAAATAAATAAATTTAAAAAAAAAAAAAAATAAAAAAAATAAAGATTACACAAATAAATGTAGTAAAATTCCACTGGAGAAATTAAAAATAAAAGTTTTAAGTTTTATTTCCATCATTTTTAAATGTTATATAAACCACCAAACCATACCCTTATTTCACTGACTCTTTTTCATTCCATAGTAATTTAATTATCATATTAAGTCTCTGAGGCTAACCAATTAATTTGTAGTATAAACTATATTCTTCCTCTCATATTTAATATACACACTCATATAAATCATAAAACAATACTTATATGATATATGCTGACAACCCAACATAGTATTTACTTAGATGGCTTAGTAGACAATTTGTTATTTTTCTTATCACAAAACCTATGTATCTTAATATATATGTGTGTGTGTAAACATATATTCTGATATATTTTATCACTTAGTGAGAAATTTTCAAAAATATATCTATTATTCATATGTCATAAATTGAACTATAATAAGGTAATATGTATATACAACAGTTAAAAGGATGGCTGTTAACAGCCAGGAAATTCTCAGTTTCTAATTCAGCTATACCTCTGTCAGTCGTGCAATTCAAGGGAAATAACTTTACATCTCTGAGCATTAGTTTCCTCATCTACAAAGAGAGATATAATACCTCAGAAGGTTTCTGTATTAAATGAGGTAAACCAGGACGCCTGGGTGACTCAGCGGTTAAGTAAGTGACTCAGCGGTTAAGCCTTTGGTTCAGGGTGTGATTCCAGATTCCTGGGATTCCTGGGATGAGTCCCACATCGGGCTCCCTGAATGGAGCCTGCTTCTCCTCCCTCTGCCTGTGTCTCTGCCTCTCTCTGTCTCTCATGAATAAATAAATAAAATCTTAAAAAAAAAAAAAAGAAAAGAAAATACCATACTTAATTGCTTGGTGTCCCTAAGTATGGTATTTTCATGAAAGCTATAAAAAAGTTAATCTCTCCCTACCTTTCCATTGCTCAAATTATTTCATTCAACAAATAAACACAGTATTAATTTACTGCTTAATTTCCTAAGCACTCTCCTTGGTTCTTCGGGAGAGCAGAGATTTACCAGTTTCAAACTCTGTCCAGAAGCAGGTTACAGGTAGTAGAAGAGAATAAAGTTTTAAAAAGTCAAGAAAAGTGTCAGGTATCTATGGAAAGATAAAATTGGGGTGTCTTGATGTTTTTTTAAGAGAAATATTACTTATAGAGAGGAGGCTATGGAAAAAACAGACCAGGGATTCGTTGGAGAGTATATATCTGACCTGCAGACCTTATTTCTCATGAGAAAAACAGATTATCCACCAGTTCAGTGCTAGGCAATATATGAGACACTTTACATATTCCACTACTCGGAAAGAAAAAATTAGTTATGGAGGCCTTATCTGAAGGCAATATATTCCATCCACATGAAACAATACCTTCCAATCATTGAATTTCTTAGCCACTTTACTCCTCTGTAAGTCTGGATGACCTATAGAATCCTGGTCAACACAATATATCAGGCAGCCACTCAGCACCTCAGCACATAAGAGAAAACTCCTCTGTTTCATTTTTTTTTTTTACTTCTCTGTTTTAAATAATCTAAAATAAATCCTTGAATTTAAATTAGATCAGATGAAAGTTGCACATGTCAAACAAATGGTTTCAAGTACCAACTAAATTGCTTTCACTAAGATGCCCTTGATAGCATTATGCCCGCAGTCTATATCGAAGGACGTTACAAAATACATTCCTATGAAATATATTGTCATAAATACTATAGATATATTGTTGAAGATGCTATTCATCACATCAGCGTCTGCCTTAGGAAACCCAATAGGAAGAACTTCTATAAGATTTCAATATTTGGTTTATTTTTATCTTATAGATATTGTTTTTCTCTTGGCAATGGCTATCAGAAAACTCTCAGTTAAATTTATTGTCTACCTAGAGCAAATTTATGGGAACTCATAACATTCATTTTATGTACCCATCAAACTGAATTTTCTTTTGCTATTTCCTCTTTCTGAGATTTTCTCACTTATCTATTTTTTAAATATTATTATTACTTTGTATATATTTTGGTAAGATGTTTTGATTTTTTCAAACAATGAAATATATTTTTTTCCTTTTAAAGGCAATCATTCCCCATTAAATGATGAGGAAACTATAGCTCAGTTTTCAAGTTAGGACATAATTTTTAGCCTGACTCCAAAGGGTGTCCACTTTAGCAGTCTACTATTACTGCAAGGCTTATGGACTACTAGCACATATCCAATTGATACAAACTAATTGTTCATATACTGTTGGACAAATATGTGTTATTAATTTAGATACTATGTGGTTAAACTGGGCAATTTCTTCTACTGAGCTTTCCAGTAAAGGATAGAAAAAGATAACTAAGGTTAAGGAAAATAGGATCTAAGAAAGAAAGAAATTTGGATTATTTCAGACTGTAGATAAACCAAAACACATGATCTTTAAAAGGAGGATAATTCCGACCCTTACAGAGTTGTTACTATTATAAAGGGCCTTCCTGTCTTTAATTGAGGTAAAAAGAATTCAAAAGATATTTTCTAGGTATCAAATATATCCCAGACAAAGCAATAAATCAAAATTTAGGAAAAGTAGAAGAAATCATTCTTAATTATGTGAAAAGTGTTCAGGTCTGAACGGAAGAGCAATGCTAATTATACTAATTATGGTTAAATTATGTGCCCCCCAAATTCATATTAAAGTCCTACTATCCAGTACCTCAAAATATGACCTTACTAGGAAATAGGGCCTCTACAGAGGTAATCAAGTTAAAATGTGGCCATTAGAGTGGCCCCTGATCCAATATGACTGGCATCCTAATAAAGAGGGAATATTTGAGAAAGGCATATACACTCAAGGAGAATGCCAAGTAAAGATGAAGGCAGAAATCAAGGTGATGATTCTACAAACCAAAGAATACCAAAGATTGCTAGCAAACCACAAGAAGCTAGACAAAAGACATGGAATATATTCTTCTTCACAACCCTTGGAAAGAACCAACCCTACTGACACTTTGACCTTAGATTTCCAGAACTGTAAAGATAACAAATTTCTGTTGTTTAAGCCACCCAGCTCGTGGTTCTTTGTTATGACAGACTTAGCAAACTAAAATAGCATGGAATAAACAAAAAGCAAAATCTTACATAAATAAGTTTTTATTGATAAACAACCAATATTCTTAGGGTTCAGAAAAGTATCATATAACTGACACTACCATGTCCTTCCAATCAATGACCCATATAAACACATGCACACACACATTATCAAAACTAAAAACAGTAAACAATTATTTACAAAAAAATATGTTTACCTTTCTCATTAATATTTTCAACTTATTCTGAATACCTATTTTATGCCATTCAGAGTATGAGGCTCAGAGCACAAAAAAGTTAACATGATCCACCCCTACTGGATAGGAATTTACAATCAAGTTTTCATCTTCCCATTCAAAATAGCCACAGCATTTGATGATTGTGATGCAATGTTACTTTTGCTTTTTTGTATTGTTCAACTGAATCATTTCTTTATTAGGAGATCTCCTTTCTGACAAAGACCAAGTTCTGCAAGCATATCATACAGAACCAGGTACATGATAAACATTCAATAATTAATGATTTATCATATAGTCAAATTATATCAGTTTAATCCCAAAAGAAATATTGAAGAAGTATTTTATAAAATATAAGGTACTATATATCAATGTTCATTAATATTACCATTATAATATTAAATAATCACTTGTAAAAAAAATAATAATCACTTGTAGCAACAATAACATAGCATTTATTTTCAAGTATTTCCAAGTTAATTCTTTGAAAATCGATTTTTCCCTGAAAACTTTTTCCATTATGATGAAATATTAATGAGTTGAATCACACTGAATGATCAGATAAATTGGATTTTGAGACAATCTAAGACAAATTCAAAACCAAATGTCTTTAATACACTCACCACTTTCAAAGCAAGCATCAAAGATAAGATGTCCTTTCTTGGGCTGTCCACAGTATCCAGATGGAAGCACCAAATATTTGCTAACATTCCCTCCAATGGCATCATCATTTCCCATGTCATAGCCTATTAAAAAAAGGGGGGGGCTCATGTTTAACAGAAATCAAAATATATTTAGTAATAGAAATCCAATAAAATTTTTATTAATTTTTCCCCTCTTCTGTCATTTATTGCTTATCCATACAGAAAGAAATGAACTACATAATGTTGCAAGGTAGAAACAAGATACAATCTGAAATCAGAAACATAAGATCTGGGATGCCTGGGTGGCTTAGTGGTTGAGCATCTGCCTTTGGCTCAGGTCATGATCCCAGGGTGCCCAGATAGAGTCCTGCATCGAGCTCCCCGCAAGAAGCCTGCTTCTCCCTCTGCCTATGTCTCTGCCTCTCTCTGTGTCTTTCATGAATAAATAAAATCTTTAAAAAAAAGAAACATAAGATCTGAAATCTCACCTCTACTACATATTAATCCTGTGATAAAAAGCAATCAATTTAATCTCTTTAAGCCTCAGTTTTTCTCATCCGAAATTAAGGAATGGGAAAACCCATCCTTCAAAATTATGTTATGGGAATTAGATATGAAAATATCTAGCATGACTACTGAAATCTGAACGATGTTCATTAAATTACACTATGTATTTAATAAGTAGTTAATATATTTAAATTGTCAGAAATGTTTAGTTAGGGGCATATGGATGGCTCAGTTAAGTGTCTGTCTTCTACTCAGGTCATGATCCCAGGGTCCTGGAATGGAGCACCAAATCAGGCTCTGCTCAGTGGGGAGTCTGCTTGTCTCTCTCCTTCTGCCTCTTTCCCCTTTGTGTGCTCCCCCTCCTTCTCTCTCAAATAAATAAAATATTTTTAAAAATTAATTAGTTTTAATTCAAATAAAACAACAGTAATATAACTATCATAACATCCTAATGTTCTACACCCAAATAATTTGAGAACCACTAAATTAACATAAAAGTTATATTTCTTAATAGGAACTTTGTTTTTTTTTTTTAATTTTATAAGTTTCACTTCTAGTTGAATAATAGAAAGTTGGAAAAATCATAGCTTTCACCTTAATAAGATAGACCCCAACAAAGAAAAAAATCATAACTTAAAACAGAGATTACAGGGCAACAATAATCTGATACCAAGGAAAGTCAGGCCCTACCAAAAAAAGAGGGAAGCACTGACTCTTTTTATGGCAAAGCACAGGAGGAAGAAACGATGGGTGCCATACAAGTGAGTAAAAAGAACTAAGCTAATTTTTTTTTAACTATTAAAAGTCAAGTATAGAAAATATGAGAGTATAAAACCTCTGAGAATCACAGACACAAAGGGAATTCACACATGCCCCCATCAAGTATTTAAGAGAAAGATTAGGGACAGGGCAGAAAACTAGAAAATGCTTTTGTTGTAATGCAGGAATGGAGAAAGAGATGGGCTACTGTTATAGAAAAGGCATGAAGCCCCACAAATATCCTTTTCCCTTAAGAAAAAAACAAAGCCTTAAGACACTAGGGGAGAAACAGCAAACCTTAAAACCCCCATGTACAATAAGACTCCAAAACAGGAAGAGGAACAGCAAAAGAAAATATCCTCTATACCTGCAGGAGGGGAAGAAAAGATTATCTCACACAAGACCCATAAATGATTCAAGGCAGAGATGAAAGAGGGAAGAGAGATTGGGATCATTGAAAAAAATCCACCCCAAGACCAGAGTATATAGGCCTGCCTAAGGTTATGTCCTAGTCCTAGCCTAGACCAAGACAGCAGAAATACTCTTGCTCCCTCAATACCAAGATAGCAAGCACTAAAAAACAATAGTAATCTACTTCTAGAGATGAGACAAAAGCACAGAAATAAACTCTGTCTATGGCAGGAGTGCCCAGGGAAGGATAAAAGTTTAGGGTGGGGCAGATGAATGAGGAAAAACTCTCAGTTACTCTAGCCCTTTCTCTCAGGAACAAGGTAACCCTAAAGACTATAAAAAAAAAAAAAAAAAAAAAAACCCTACTAGAACTGATAAATGAATTCATTGAGGTCACAGGATACAAAATCAATATACAGAAATCTGCTGCATTTCTATACAGCAATAATAAAGTAGCAGAAAAAAAATTAAGGAAACAATCTGAATTTACAATTGTACCAAAAATAATAAAATACTTGGGTATAAAATTAACCAAGAAGGTGTATGTAAGACCTGTACTGTGAAAAACTAAAAAGCACTGATTAAAAAAACTGAAGATGATACAAACAAATGGAAACATATTCCATGCTCATGGCTTGGAAAAACAACTTTTGTTACAATGTCCATACAACCCAAAGCAATCTACAGATTATAACAATCCTTACCATAAAACCAACAACATTTTTCACAGAATTAGAACAAATAATCCTAAAATTTCTGTAGAATCACCAAACACCCAGAACAGCCACAGCAATCTTGAAAAAGAAAAAACCAGAAGCATCACAATCCCAGATTTCAATATATATTACAAAGCCGTAGTTCTAAAAAGTATGGTTCTGGTACAAAAACAAACACATAGATCAAGAGAATAGAATAAAGAGCCCAGAAATAAATCCATGATTATTTGGTCAATTAATCTTTGACACAGTAAGCAAAAATATGCAATGGGAAAAAAGTCTCTTCAACAAATGGTGTTAAGAAAATTGAACAGCTACATACAAAAGAATGAAATTGGACCACTTTCTTACACCATGTACAAAAATAAACTCAAAATGGACTTAGGACCTAAGTGTGAGATTCGTGACACCATAAAAATCCTACAAGAGAGCACAGGCAGTAATTTCTCTGACATCAACCATAGCAACATTTTTCTAGAAATGTCTCCTCAGGCAAGAGAAATAAAAGCCAAAATAAACCTTTAAGACTGTATTAAAATAAAAGGCTTCTGTACAACAAAGGAAATCACCAACAAAACTAAAAGGATAATGAATAGGTAAAGATACTGGCAAATAACATATCTGATAAAGAGTATCAAAAATGTATAAAGAATTTGTAAAACAACAGCCAAAAAACAAATAATGCAACTGAAAACTGGGCACAAGACATAACACAGACATTTCTGCAAAGAAGATTAAGATTTCATACCAGGCATATGAGAAGATGAGCCAATATCACTCATCATCAGGAAAATGCAAATCAAAACTACCATGAAACATTACCTCATACTTGTCAGAATAGTTAACTCAAAAGCAAGAAACTAGTGTTCACAAGGATGTGGAGAAAAAGGAACCATCATGCACTGTTGGTAAGAATACAAACTAGAAACAGTATGGAGGTTCCTCAAAAATTAAAAATAGAACTACCATATATGATCCAGCAATTCCTCTACTGGGTATTTCTCTAAAGAATACAAAACACTCCTGCAAAAAGATATATACATTCCTATGTTTATTGTAGCATTATTTACAATAGCCAAATTATGGAAACAACCCAAGTGTCCATCAACAGATGAATGGATAAAGAAGATGTGAGATAGATAGATAGATAGATAGATAGATAGATAGATAGATAGATGATAGATAGATAGATAGATAGATGATAAATAGAATATTACTTGACCATAAAAAAGAATGAAATCTTACTGTTTGCAACAACATAGAGGGATCTAGAGCATATAATACTAAGCAAAATAAGTTAGAGAAAGACAAATACAATAAGATTTCACTTATATGTGGAATTTCAGAAACAAAACAAATGAATAGTGGAAAAAAAGAAACAAAATAGACTCCTGGAATGCCTGGGTGGCTCAGTGGTTGAGTGTCTGCCTTTGGCTCAGGGCGTGAACCCAGAGTCCTGGGACTGAGTCCCACATCAGGCTTCCTGCATGGAGCCTGCTTCTCCCTCTGCCTGTGTCTCTGCCTCTCTATCTCTCTCATGAATAAATAAATAAAATCTTTAAGAAAAAAAAAAGAATAGACTCTTAAATACAGAGAAAAAACTGATGGTTACCAGTGGGGAGATGGATGAGAGGATAGATGAAATAGGTGAAGAGGATAAAGAGCACACTTACCATGAGATGAGAATGAGTAATGCATAGGATTGTTGAATCACTTGTATACCTGAAACTGATGTAACACTAAACTATACTATAAACTAATAGAACACATTAATTACATTGGAATTTAAGAAATGGGTTTTGTTTTTTAAAATTAATTAATTAGCTAATTAATTAAAATGTTAAAAAAGATTCTAAAACAATTTGAAGCCAGTAATAAATTGAAGATATACACAGCAACAATGAAACTTAACCGGGGATCCCTGGGTGGCTCAGCAGTTTAGCACCTGCCTTTGGCCCAGGGCGCAATCCTGGAGTCCCGGGATCGAGTCCCACGTTGAGCTCCTGGCATGGAGCCTGCTCCTCCCTCCTCCTGTGTTTCTGCCCTCTCTCTCTCTCTCTCTCTCTCTCTCTCTCTCTCTCATAAATAAATAAATAAATAAATAAACAAACAAACAAATAAATAAATCTTAAAAAAAAAGAGGGATCCCTGGGTGGCGCAGCGGTTTGGCGCCTGCCTTTGGCCCGGGGCGCGATCCTGGAGACCCGGGATCGAATCCCACATCGGGCTCCCGGTGCATGGAGCCTGCTTCTCCCTCTGCCTATGTCTCTGCGCGCCCCCCCCTCTCTGACTATCATAAATAAATAAAAAAAATTAAAAAAAAAAAGAAAAGAAACTTAACCCAGCTTAACTCTTGACTAGGTTGACATAAGCCCTCACACAAATGACCTAGGAGAAGGGGGGTATCCATTTCCAGTGACAAATAGTATTCCTATCATTGTCTACTGTTCTACATTAGAAGCCAAGTATGTAACACAAAATTATGAAACATACAAAAAAAATCAAGAAAAGACAACCTACTATCTATGAAGAGCAATTAATTGAAGTAGATTCAGAAATGACTAGACAGACATTGGTATCACCAGACAATGAATTAAAATAACTAAGATTGGGGCCTTTGGGTGGCTCAGTTGTTTGTGTCTGACTCTTGGTTTCAGCTCAGGTCATGATCTCAGGGATGTGAGGTAGAGTCCTGCATAAGGCTCTAAG